AATTTTTTAATATGATTTGAGAATATGAGTTATATTTTGAATTTGTGAGTTTTAGAATTATGATTTGAGTGTAGAAAATTTGTTTGATAAATGAGTTTTGAATTGAGTAGAGAATTTTTGATGTAGCATATGATATCTGATATAAAAACTTACAATTCATAACCAAACACATAACTCAAAAATCTATTAAAAGCTCATAATTTTTTTTTAAAATTTTCAAAAATATTGTTTTATTAAAAATATATATATATATAAAAAAACAAGTGCCAATTTCAAAAAAAAAAAAAAAAATCGTACTGTTCAGGTCAACCGGCCGGTCAACCGATCCGATGTCCGGTAGGCCAAATTTCAAAATTTAAAAGCCCACTTGGAACAAGTTTTTAAAAGGAGGGGTAGAATTAATTTTTCAAAACTCAAATCAAACATTATACTAAAATGTAAGGGTAAAATTATGATTCCAAAACTCTTCCAAGCACAGTCTTTTTTGTTTTACAAAGTTAAAGGAACTTATTTATTTTGATAATTTCAATAATTGAATTGAAATTATACTACAATTGAAGTTTTAGCTGTAAATTTGAAGAATGTACATAATTTCGTAATTAGCCCTCATATTCACAATTTCAATCATAAATTGGAATTTCATCTATTATCCAACAGTGAAATTGCATAGCCTTCTTATCAAAACAGTGAAATTTCATAATTGTGTCACAATTTTTAGTGAGAATTTTAATTTTATCATTTCGGAGCCCTCAATTGGAAAATTTTAGTGCCCAATTTTTTCATTTGGTTCTCAAATTTTCATGTTTTGCTCCTCAATTGAAAATTTCACTATATTAAAAATTGAAATTTCACTATTTTTTATCACAATGAACACAGTGAAATTTTATCCATTTCCCCCCTTAAAATCTCATATTCATCATCGATCTTATTTGATAAATTTTCATGAGAAGATTCTAAATATGCAAATTTTATACATATAAAAAAAATATTAGAGATCTAAATCAAGACTTATTGAATTTTAATGTTTTCAAATTAATCAAGAAATGCAAGACATTACAAGCTATAGTGACAATGGCATTATTGTGTCCTGAGTATTTTGGGAAGAAATTGACCTTTTTAAATATTAGAGGACTTCAGCTAGGAACCATTTTTTAGTATCCTTATACTAGTATAAATTTACAATGAGGGAGGTCCAACCAAAACCCCTTTCAAAAAATATAAAACTATATAAAACACCACAAGACATCCCAAAAAAGAAATAAAAAATTACACAAATATTACTTTTAATACTATATATATATTTATATTAGATGACCTTTTCCTTTTCTACAACTAGTCATTTTCACTTGCAGTGGATAATATGCTCAATAGTATAAGTTCTATAAAAATATCCAATACAGAAAAACCATAAAAATGAAAAACAAAAATAAATAAATATATTTTTTTGATACAAACCCAAAATAATTTCTACAACAACTCTTTTTGTTGTATGATTTTAACCACAATTAAACGCCTAATATTAAAGATAAAAATTTTAAACACAAAACGATAATACGATTTGAACAATACACAAAATTAGAGGTTAGAGTTGACCATTTTCTAACATAAACACATATATAATGCGACCTAATAATACCAACGTTAAACAAGTCAAGTTAATGTTAAATCTGCATAACACGAAATTAATACAAATAATCTATTTAATGAAAAATTAATTACATCCGTTAACATTATTTCCACCCTGGAATGGCATGACATTTTTAAATTTATTATCCAGCTTATTATAAAGTACGTAAGAGAGAATTTAAGGCTAGTATATGTTTAAAAAAAATAATAAAGATAATGTATTTTGTCTATTATTATTTTAGAGTTAATCTATTAAAAAATATAAAAATAGGAATTTATGTATATTAAAAAAATCAAATTCAGTTAAAATTAAATATTTTTGTGAGCAATTTCATTTAGTTGAGATTAATTTCATTAAATTTAAATTTAAATTTTTTTCACACATTTTATATTTTTAATTAATAATAATTTTTTTGATTCGACACATTAATATGACACGAGTCACAGACAGACTAAAAATTACATGGCATGATAATATAAAATAATACCATAGCAACTAAGAGTGATCAGCGGATATTTCGATCCACACAAATTAATCAAACCGAACTGAACCGATCAGCTACATTTTTGATGGATGCGTACTGACGAGCGGACGGTTACGGATTATTTTTTTCAATCCGCTTAGTTTTGGACGGATGACAGATTTGAGGTTCCTATGAACGCAGCCGAACCGCTAAACTGCGAGCACCCCTAGTAATTTGTAAGACTTTGTGTTTTCAATTTGTTCAGATATTCTGTTTGTATTTTCAATTGAAAAAGAGTTTAGATATTCTGTTGTGTTTTCAATTTGAAAATTCTTTTATCAAATGGCAATAGTTGATATTTGGTATTTTCATGTGGCAAAATATAAGGCTTAATTTTGTCATTTTAAAAAAAATTAAATTAAATAGTTTTTGAATAAAAAAAAGTAATGAAATAATTTTGATAATGCATGGTTTTCTTATATATATTTATTATTGATATTTGACAATTTACTTAATAATCTTTTGGTATTATTGGTATCCGCCTAAACTGATCGTATCGAATCGAACCAATCAGCTGCATTTTGGACAGATACGTACTGACGAGCGGATGGTTATGAATTGATTTTTTCAATCCGTCTAGTTTTGAACGGATGGCAGATTTGAGATTCCTTTGAACGCAACCGAACTACCAAACTGCGAGCATCCCTAGTAATCTGTAAGATTTTGTGTTTTCAATTTGTTCAGATATATCTAGTTTGTATTTTCAATTGAAAAAGAGTTTAGATATTCTGTTGTGTTTTTAATTTGGAAATCCTTTTATCAAATGACAATAGTTGATATTTGGTATTTTTATGTGAAAAATATAAGGCTTAATTTTGTCATTTTTTAAAAAATCAAATTAAATAGTTTTTGAATAAAAAGTAATGAAATAGTTTTGATAATGAGTGGTTTTCTTATATGTATTTATTATTCGTATTTGACAATTTAATTAATAATCTTTTGGTTATATTAAGCCTCCGTTTGGGAAGTGGGTTGGCTTTTTGGCTTTTTTGGCTATTTTAGCTTGAGCTTAAAAGCTTGGTTTAGGAAGGACTTTTTGGCTTTTTGACTTTTTTGAGTTTTTTTGTGAGAGAAGAATGTAATGATTATGGGTTAGATGTGATGTTTTGTTTGTTATGGCTAAAATAGCCTATTTTGTTTTTTGTGGCTAAAATAGCCAAAAAAGCCTGCAAACCCACTTGCCAAACATAGGCTAAGTTAGATTGTTATCTAAAAAAAAATGTTGACAAATTATTGTATTATATTTAAAATTTGCAAAAGTTTAAACTGCCAATCCACATCCTTCAATCTGATGAACGGATGTAGATTGATTTTTTCCAATCTGCCCATTCGGCGAACGGATGTGGGATTGGAGGTTCCCGACAGCAACCGAACCGCGAACACTCCTAATAGTAACTTACGATCGTTTTGTAAACATATTTGTGTATTAAATTTTTTTAAAGAAAAAAAAAACATAATAACATTTCATATTTATAATAAAAAAAAAATGACTTATAAAAATTAGCAAATGTTACCTCATAAATATATAATTTTTTTTTTTATCTTTTTATCTTTCACAATCTTATATTATTCTCAAATTTTAATTATCATTAAAAAATAAGTTAATATTTCTCACCTTAGTACTAAAATTTAAAAAAATAAATATAAAACTAAAAAAATAACTAATCACGTTACAATAAATTAAAATTAGATGTCAAGAATGAAAGATAAAGAAATTATTTGAGAATAATAAACTATTTAAATTTGTCATTTCTTACATCTAATTTAAATAGAATTTTACTTGAAGAAATAAATTATTTGAAAATAATAAAATACTCAAATAATTTATTATTTATTACATCTAGAATCTATATCTCCATCTTTGTTTCTTTCATTAAACTTTTTTTATTAAATTAAATTTCAAAATTAATTCAAAAATGAAACATGAATATTCTTTCTTAATTTCATTAATGGATGTTTTTTTTTTTTTTTTTAAAACTTATAAAAGTTCAGAACTTAGAGTGAAAAAGAAAAATACAAAGTCAAGGAAACACAAAAAAAAAAAAAATTGTGAGAAATAAAATGATAATTTAATATATAGATAAATTACAATTAAATGGTGTTAAGTGTAAAGGGTAGTATAGTATGGTCCTTTGCAGAACCAAGTTAACACCGCTAGGCTTAAATTAATGGAGAGGGAAGAACCTTGACAATGTTAGAAAAAGTAAGAAATTTTTTTGTAATTATTAAAACTACAGAAAATGTTCCTGTAATTGTCAGAATCCTTAAGAGAAGTACGTGTAATTTACCCAAATTTTATTTTTTTTCTCAAACCATACCGAACTGTATGGCATACACCCTGACCACACTACCTAATATGAAATCAACAATATTATGGATATAGACATAAAAATTCAGAAATTATCAAAAATTTTACATTAATAATTCAAATTCATTTTATATATGAATCTCACACTTTATCAATTCAATCTCCACTATACATACTTTTTTTTTGGATGATTCTGAATGGATAATTCCGAGTCTCAAATTTCTGGGCCTAACTTTTTTGAGATTGAAGATACAATAATTAAAAAAAAAAAAACTTTGCTTAACTAATAAACTAATAATATATACGACAATGTTACGTAACTCAAATTTTGTGACTCAAAAGTGGTTCAAATAGGCAAAACGACGTCGTTTTGAGTACAGAACAATATAAAAATGGCCAAAACGACGTCGTTTTGGCCATTTGAGCCACTTTTGAGTCACAAAATTTGAGTTACGAGACATTTTCCTAATATATATTCCCCATCTCAAAAGTAATAATAATCTATATATATCCCACCAATGTCTACCTGTACAATTTCTTTTTTTCATTTTTTCCAATTAAAAAAAAAAAAAAAAACAGAGTAGAAGACGAACAGAGGAAGAAGCTAAAAGGAGGACCTTGCTAGGGTAAACGAAGGGTAATCGGATTCAGAAGGCGATCGATTTCGGGAATCTGAGAGATTACGCAATGGCGGACTCTCTCAGGTCTCTCTCTCTCTCTCTCTCTCTATATATATATATATAGGTGAATTTGTATATCTGGATTTAGAATTTGATATTGTTTGTATAATGGTTTGATTGCAGAGGTAGGTGATCTTCCCTTCCCGGATTCGATGTTTTTGGTAGGATCGCTGTTACGTTTCGGATCTGTGATTGTTTGGATTGTTCATATAGTCGCATGCATGGGGTAAGTCTTTCGATTCCTTCCTTAGATTCACTCATCCCTACATATTTCTATGATTTTTGAAAATTTGATTTGAGATTGGCCTACGATTGGGTTGGAAAATTTAATAGCTGATTTGTTACTTGCGACCAATTTCCTTGTTTGCAGAAAAAATAACTTTTTTTTAAAAAAAAAAAAATAATTAATTTATAAATCCTATCTTATTACAGTGTTTTTGTTTCCCAAATCAGATGATTGAGGTTTATATGGTGAAATATTTAGTGTGATCTGAATTAGTGCCTTTTGTTTGTCTAATTGGAGAATAAACGTGTAATTGATAACTGGGTAATCTATCTTTCTGGTCTAGGCTTGATATAGATTTTATAGTTCTATTCAATGTAAAATTATAAAGCATGGTTGGAAATAAATGCGCAGTTGTTCGAAGATAAATATCGGGAAGTGAACTGGTTGTGGGATAAAGTTTGTCACTCAACTAACTTCCTTTTGTGATTTGGTGAATTCTCTCTTTAAGGCGGTTCCACTATTTCTGTTAGTTAGAGATTGGTTGTCGGTGTGTGACATGAAGATTTTTACTTGAGATGGCAATGGGAGAATTTGGTAAAAAGTCAGCTTTTTGGCTTTTTAGTTTTTTTACGCAAGAAAGCCACAAAAAAGTCAACTTTTTTACACAAAAAAAACCAAAAAATCAGCTTTTTATCAACTTCCCAAAACACCTTTTTGGGTTATGTATTTCGTACTTTCATTTTCCTTTTGTAAGAGGATGCCTTATCCTCGTTCCTTTTTTGATTTATCAATAAAATCTTTTATTGTTGATCCAAAAAAATGTAAATTTATAAATCAGAGAATTTCCTCTTCTGCATGATGCCATTTTGTGGCTTGTTGGATTTAATAGGGCCTTTCTGTAAAATCATGATGTAATATTTATTAGTGGAACTTCACACTGTCCAACCATAATGGAACACAATTTTTGTTCATCAAGCCCCTTTTTAGAGGACTTGTTGAGAGAAATCAAATATAATTTTGAGTAATCCGCTTTTACACTGTTCTTTGTTGTCTGCATGTTTAGTATTTACCAATATATGGATTCTGTTTGACTATATTTCACAAATCAGGCCTGTCATTAAATAGATGGTATGGCTATAAGGAAGTGGTGGGGAAGCAAAACTAAATGTGGAAGGGTGTTAAGAATTTTGTTTGCACTATCAATTGTAATATGCAAGAGTAAAAATGCAGATACGAAGTGAATGAATTTTATGGCTTGAGGTGAATTTTATGATTTGAGTTCTTAGTTTTTTTTAAGTTGTTGGATTTGTTATGCCTATTGGTTTTCTGATCTCGAGATTTTCAATGAAAATCTAGGGATTTCAATGTTAAGTTTGGACGTTGAAATGTAGGCTATGAAATCTAGTTAAAAATTGGAACTTGAGTTGGTGACTCTCAGCTACTACCTGACTCATCACTTAGGTTTTAGTGGGTTTGGGTCAATTATTTTTATAAGATTTTGCTGCTGGTATAGACCTCTTTTTCGGTTCTTGTTTGTGATTTTGCATTTGATTGTCTTTAAGAAATTTTTTTTTTCTTTTTTAGTTTTAAAATATTATTGAAACCCTAAGAAAGGAGACAACATGAGTTTAGTGTTTCTGGTATTTTTAATCCCTCTTCACCCGTGCACATTGTGTGTGTGTGTGTGTTTCATGCTTTCTTTGCCGTCCTTTGCCTGAATTGGTTGTGTTCAACTAGTATATCAATTGTCTGACATCGAGTTTTATCGAATCTTATTGTTGAACAAGTGTAGTTGCTTACCTTCATGAGTTGAATGGTGTGAATTTGTTGCTAGACCTGATTTGTATTAAGTCGGCTCCTCTCTCTCTCTCTCTCTAGATAGATAGATAGATTAACAATACTGGTAGTTTTTATCAGTTTTTAATGCTTCAAAATTTTTAATAAGTTAAATTTTTTAATCCTTCAGGTTTAATTTAAGATATTTAGTTGGCGGTGGGTTAATGTCCAAAAACGTGTATGCTGTGGATTATTGTTGCTAACATGTGATTTGTGATACTTTTGGATTACTTGAGTTCTGAGAGTTTTGTATGAAGAACGCCATCAAATATTTGAGCCCAATGAAAGGTCAATATCTCATATGATTTTTGATCATTTGAGTTTTCTTGCATGAATGTAGTCAAGGAATTTAGGCAATTAGCAACGATGTAATTCTGCATACCCTTGTTCATGCGACTTTCAAACTCTCTGAAATATTAGTTTTGTGAAAAAATGTAGGAGTGCGTCTACTGAAACGACGACATGCAAATTACTTCAATATCTTATTATATGGACAAATTTAGAGCTATATATATATTATAGATTTTAATTATTTTATTTCACTTAAAAGTTTAATCGGAAAGCATGGTTTCTGAAGACAATTGGGGACTTGGCATTAAGATTCATTTGTGGTACGGTAGATTCAGATCACGACAGGAGCAATCTTAACTGATAAATCTACACTGTCAATGCTACATTCATGATTTTGGGCCATCTGACATTACTAATCAATTCAGTTCCTATAATAAATTACTCCAAAACTTTGACAAATTGATTTGCCTAAGATCATCCCATCACATTAATTCTTAGCCTAGTGTCTTTGCCTATAAGTCATATATTCAAGTCTACTCTACAAAGCCTTGTCTCAGTTACTTAGGGTCAGCTACATGAACCCTGTTTCATCATTTTGCTCGATCAAGGGCCATAAGTTCAATTAAAGCTAACATGCCTTTCTTTGTTATCTCAACATATATTGATTTTAGTCTCCCTTATCTGGTAGGATTACCCTCAATGTGGACAATGTGACTTTTCCTAACTTGTGAAACTATCAATTTTCGCTACACATGACCAAACCATCTCAGTGAATTTTCCTTCATTTTACCTTCAATAGGTGTTTATCTTTAGCAACCCTTGGATTCGTTCATTCGTACCCTGTCTTTTCTAGTTTTCCACAGATTCACTTCAGCTTTACTTCTCTCATGTGCACTCACTTTGTGAACATCTTAGTCAAGTTTCTTTTTTAATCTCATAAGTATGCATCGATCACACTAGACACTTTGGTGGTATATACCAAAATTTTATCAGATTGCCTTTTAAATTGCGGGGCTTGATTTTTTGTTGAAAAGTGCTTCCGTGACATTTGTAGTTTTAAAGAAGCAACGAGCTTGCCAAGAGAGTAAGGCTGCCTCATATAAATGATTGGTGGCTCAAGTCAACTTGAACGCATGTGGTTAAATTAGTGTTAAACGTGGTTTAGTGGGGCTTTTTGTGGATGGCTTGCACCCCCTTGATGTCTGTTTTATATATTTCTATACTTATCCCCAAAAAAAAAAAAAAAAAAAAAAAAAAAAAAAAAAAAAAAGAAGGAAAAAAACTCAACGAGTGTTTTGGGCTTGTTTGATTTGGATGTTGCTCATGAAATTCAACTTTGGTGTTGCTTCTATATATTTCTTACTTATCAAAAAAGGAAAAGAAAAAACACTGAAAAATATTTTAGGCTTGTTTGATTTGGATGTTGCTCATGTAATTCAACTTCCTGGTCTGTTTCACTTGGGGTGTTTTTTTGTCCAAATTAAAAAAAAAAAGTTCCATATCCATTGTTATAACTATTCTATTGATTTTTTGTATTATTTATTCTTTTTTTATTTTTAAAAAAGAAACTTGATATGCATTCTTTGATCTTTAACCACCTAGATTGTTCCATACCAAAGCAAAGCCTGCAGTTGATCTTCTTAGCAACCTGGTAGAGGACATTAGCTGGTGAGTTGCTTCTTGGAATAACATTGAGAATAATCAGACCTCTAGGACTCTGATTTTTTCTTGGGGTTTCTCCCCTAGAAACCTTAATGGATATATTTCTTTTTGATGTAATTGTTAGCTTAGGGAATGCCCTGTTGGAGCATGTGTGAAGATAAGAGTCCCACGTCGGATAAAAAGTAAAAGAGATGGGTCTTAATATACATTAGATGCGCTCTCCACTTATGGGCTTAAGTTTTTAAGTGGATATGAGTTTCAAATAATGTAAGTTAGGCTATAGTGTTAGGTACGTGGAGTCTAGAGTTTCTCTCTGATGAATTGGGCTGGTGTTGCTATGCGCTTGTTGGCTCCCCGATTTCCTAACAACTGGTATAAGAGCCAATGGCAGACGATCTATGGACAGACTCTCCTAGAGCATTGATTTTGGTGGGCTTGGGCACAGAAACTCTTGATGGAGCAAAAGAAAAATTCCTAGTGCACGTGGAGGTTGGACCGCGGCCTATGAAGCATGGGTACTTCAAAAAACATGCCGTAGCTGTACCAGATACTTACCGACGTATGGTACCTCGTATGGTACTTCTGCATACGTACTGGTTACACGAAACACATATCCAAATTTTTTCTTCTTAATTTTTGCCGTACCCAGATGTATCTACTATATACTCAAGTCGTACTGTATCTCAGTTAAAACAATATTTTCTTCTACTACAAAGATAAAACTCTTTTCATTAGACTTGTTTTTTATTTTTGGTTTTATGCTTAATATGTTTTTAAAATCAAACTATGGTTTGTAAGTTATTTAATATATTAATATTTAATTTTGATTTATACCTTTACTTTTGGCATTAAGGGCCATTTTGGGAAGTGGGCCACTTCCCAGCTTTTAAGCCACTTCCCTCTCTTATAGAAAAGTCAAAAAATAGCTTTTAACCATCTTCTCAAAACACCCTTAAATGTTAATTGTAGGTTTAATCTTAACAAATTAAACCATTTAATTAATTTTTGCATTATTCTAAATTAAAAAATAAATATTTTCTTACAAGCTTACCAAGCTTTACCCGTATCGTACTTTTTGGAGATTTTACCGTATTGAAGTACCTGTATCGTACCCGTATCAGTACTCGTACCCATACTTCATAGACCGCGGCAAGGTGGCTCTCTTAATGGAGTATGGTAGCTCATGATGGAGTGTGTGCGGGGGGGGCCTGGGTTGGACTCGATGTTGAAGAATTGTAGATAAGGATTAAGGGAGAGTGCATATGATCTATGATGAACTTGTAGATGATAGATCAAGACTTCCGGGAGGAGCAAGGAGAAGCCTAATGTTTGCTTCACACATGAGGGGAGATTGTTGGAGCATGCGTGAAAATAAGAGTTCCACATTGGATAAAAAGTAAGAGATGAGTCTTAATATACATTAGATGGATTCTCCACTTATGGGCTTAAGCTTTTAGGTGGGTATGAGTTTCAAATAATGTAAGTTAGGCCCTAGTGTTAGGTATAGATGTAGACTCTAGACATTCTCCCCAATGAATGGGGCCGGTGTTGTTGTGCGCTTGTGGGCTCCCCGATTCCCTAACATGCCCTGGCTTCATTAACAAAATTGGCCACTTCTATGATTTGTTAGAGCTGGATTTACCATTTCATTGTGTATACTGTACTTCTGGTTTTTATTGTACCTCAAAATTAATGTTTATCTAGGTTTTGTGAACTTTAAGTCCAGACTATGGCGTCCATGATGACATATATCTTATATTCTCTTCCAAAATATGGCTTGTAAGTTCATTGCTGCCTAGGCAAAGAGATAAATGTTGATGTTTGATGCGAGTTTGCTTCGAAAATTCATCACCTGTGTACAAACTAGCATTTTTTTTTTCTCTGAAGGTGCCTTCCTAAACTTCCAATTGTGTCACATTCACTGTTCTTTCAAACTCTCTCTCTCTCTCTCTCTCTCTCTGTATGTCATTTCTTTATTACTAATTTGCATTACTAATGTTGTGAAGGGTTTTGACCTTGGAGTGGGGATTGCATATGTTGCTTGAAAATGTGTGAACTTCTTATAAACTGATAGCCTGTGTACACTCTGCAGCACGAGTGGCTAATGAATGTCGATTATTTGAAATAAATATGATTTCTTACAGAACCTGATTTTTGTAACAGAGCAGTGGTTGTCTGGGAAGCCATAGTAAACCCGAACTGATTACCTCAATTGATGAGCCACTGAAAGGTCCAAAGCTTCAAGGTCAAAAAGCATCAAAACCTAGCGTATCAGAGGATTTCTGGACCACTAGCACATGTGAAATGGACAACAGTGCAATGCACTCACGAGGAAGCATCTCTTCAATAAGCACATCAAACCTGACCGTAGATCCCCATGCCACTAGCAGTGGAAGCATTCCTTCTGAATTTGTAAATCATGGCAAGTTTTGGTTGCTTCTTTTATGTCACTGACTTTATTGGGTGTAGATTTATCATCACAATGCAAATGCATTTTTCTTCCCCTGGTATGTGAATCTGTCTTTCTGGTGTTGTGGGTGAGGGTACAAAGACTCCAATGGAATTCAAAGCATGGTTAAATTGATTCTTTCCTTTTTGATACAAAAAAAATAAATTATTATCACTGTATTTTTGTCTGCTGGATCTTCTTTAGGTCTTGTTCTGAAATGGTGCATCATATCTGATGCTGAATGTCTTGGTTGTAGGTCTTCTTCTCTGGAACCAAACTAGGCAGCAGTGGATAGGAAATAAAAAGCCCGATAATCGGGAACAGGGGCTTCGTGAACCTAAACTGAGGTTTGTTGTTTTCATGGTTTTGAATTTGTGGAAACTAAACGGGTCTGTTATATGGTTCCGGATGATGATTTATCTGCCATCAATGCTAGTTAACCTCTTCAAAGTATATTATAATATTTTTGATAATCGGGGTCCGGGTGACCCCGACCATTCCCTGAGACCCATGTAAAGCTTCCCCTCCATGCAGATCGCAAAGTATATTATAATATAGCATCTGCATAAGGTACTTAATATGTGTTTGTCCCCTTTTGGTCATGACTAAAGGAAAAATGCCATGAACTGAATTGCCATTCTCTTTTGAGTTAGCATGTTACCTGGTGATGGTTTCCACTAGTTTATTTGACCTTGCTGCCTTGGTAGGTTCAGTCTTGTGAGCAGAATACGAAAATGCATAAACAATTCTCTTTTGCCATCCAAAGTTCTTTGTGATATTTCTTTTTGTTGGGACTCACCGGCAACTTTGTTTCAGTTCCTTGGTTGTTATCTTACAATCATATGTGGCTTGCGTTAAATGTGTTTGAATTCTTCTGGGGTTAGTTTAATATTTTTCTGTGTTTGAAAAAGTATATTAAATGTATGAAAATTAAATAATATTATTTACAATGGTAGTTGTGAGTGAGACCTCAGAGATGGTTGGGGTACCCTCCATGTATGCATGCTAAATTATTGCCATGAGAGCTCCCCTGCTAGTTTGAACTGCATATTTGCTAACTGATGCTTATAAATGCCTTACCATCTGTGATACCTTTGTTTTTTGTTTTTGGACGGATTCCTGTGGAGGCAAGTTGCTAATTTACTCAAGGTTTGTTTGGGAAGTGACTTTTTGGATAAAATATGAGGTGAACAAAACTTAAGTGTTTGTAATGACTTTTTGGCTTTTTATGAAAAAGTGTACAAAAAGTAGAGAATGGAAAGGAATCTTTGACTTTTGTGTATATTTTTTTGACATTTTAGCTTTTTTGTAGGTGTTATTTTTTTGACTTTTTTGCTAAAATACTATCATCCGAAATGGACTCTCAGTCCTCTTGTTCATAATAAAAACTTTTAGTTCCTTGAATAATTACTAATGCATTTTTAGCTGCTTGCATATAATTTTGTCAAAAATCTAAAATCACAATGGAAGACAAATTTGCAACATGATTTCTGCATGATTGCTCTTTTTGGTGTCTTTTTTCTATTTTGTGGTGAATCTTATTAATTTAGTGTTGTGTGCCTGAAAGGTTTGTATTTGTCCAAATTGTTTTCTTTTTTTATCTTGGGGATACGGATGATGCTGGGATGCCTAACACACTTCATGTTAAGGTGTCTTCTTGATGCTACTTGTAGTTTAGAAAACCATCATCTGCACCATGTTCTCTTCTGAAATAAGCATAGGTGATTCATGAAGATGTTTCTCATACTTTGTCTGACTTAACCTTTCTTTGCCTGGTTAATTTTTTTTTGGGTTTGCAGTTGGAATTCAACCTACGACAGTTTGCTTGGGAGCAACAAGCCATTTGCCCAGCGCATACCTCTCTCTGTAAGTTTCGATCTTCAACAAGATAGTTTTTGAATACTGCTTTTGAGTTTTTTTTGTTTTTGTTTTTCGGAAAGACAAAAAAGCAAAGTGTGTAGTTTTGTCTGCTTGGCAACGTGCCCTGCTCATATATTTTAAACTAACAGGAAATGGTAGATTTTCTTGTCGATATCTGGGAGCAGGAAGGGATGTACGATTGAGAAAGCGTAAGCAGGAGACTTTCTATGTTTAGATATTAGAGCCAACGACAACTGTTGTAGCATTTAGAATTGCTAAGGTAGCAAAAACTCGATTGGGCAGTATGTGTATTAAACTGTGACATTATATCATCACATATGATGCCCATAGGGATATTTTTACTCTCAACAGGCTCTTAGAACATAAGCCATATGGTATCACACACTGTATTGTTCTAATTTATAGAAGTAGCTGCCTCTGCCATTCTTGGCAGCAGATTTTGCGAAGTATCTGAATTTGCTCTTGACTGGGAATTTGTTAAATGTGTTTTTGTTTTTCATATTTTATCTCTTTTACGTTTATTTTAGGTATGGGATACGTATAATTATTTTGTGAAATGATTGAGATAATATAGCCACGGAAAATTAGAGAAGCCTGAATTGTGATGTCTTTTTTGGTTCTTGGATTTGTTAAGGAAAGGAAAAAGTTAATTTAAAAAAAAAAAAAAATGAGAAGCAAAAATTTGTTACTGGGGTTTGGTTGGGCTGGGTTTAGGGTTGCAAACGAACTGAACTGTTCATGAACAACTCGAATTTGGCTCATTTAAATTCGTTTGAGCTCGACTCGTTTATTAAATGAATAAACTCGAGCTCAATTTTTAGGCTCTTTTATTAATTGAGCCGAGCTCAAGTAGTTCTGAATTCAGCTCGATAAGGCTCGTGAATATAAAAATAAATAAATGGTTTTAGGGTTGCAAACGAACTGAACTGTTCATGAACAACTCGAGTTTGGCTCATTTAAATTCGTTTGAGCTCGACTCGTTTATTAAATGAATAAACTCGAGCTCAATTTTTAGGCTCTTTTATTAATTGAGCCGAGCTCAAGTAGTTCTGAATTCAGCTCGATAAGGCTCGTGAATATAAAAATAAATAAATAAATATTTATTTTTAATAATATATTAAATAAATTTTCAATAATTTATTTTATTTGTTATTTATGTTTGGTAGTTGTGTAAATTTTTATATTTGATTGATGATATTTATTATTAATATAAGTATTATTATATATTTTAATCATAATTTTGTATTTTTTAAATTTTAATAAGTAAATTAATTTAAATTTAATTCATTTTTAACATTTATGTAATTGAGCGACCTCGAGTTCGATTTTTGAAGCTCGACTAAAACTCGTTCAAGATCGAGTTTGACTAATTCTTAATAAATGAGCTTAAATATTCAAAATTTCGATTCGGTTCGTTTGCAACCTAGTTGGGTTTCAAGGAAGAATGCATAGGAATTTTTCAAAACATAATTTTTCTTGCATGGTTACTAGAGAAAAATGAATAGACACAAGTTAAAACACTTTGGTATTGTTTTATTTTAATGTTTTGTATTCTCGAAAATAGAAAAAACGAAAACTGACAACATTTTTTTTTTCTTTTTGAAGTGTACTTTTTATAAGAAACGCTTTAAAGAAGTTATTTGAATTTTTCAAAACTGTTTTTGCATAATAGTAAAAATGATTAGTGATTTTTGAACTTGGCATTAGTTTTATTTTTGAAATCACGAAAAATAAATGTTTGGTAGCAGCTACATATGCATATGAAAATTGGTTCTACATTGAAAAATTTCATTTATAATGCTCATTTAATAGAAGAAACTCATTGAGTGAATTTCAATACAGTTATTTTTTGAAAAATTATTTATAAATACATAAAAAATTAAAATTTTTAATTATTAACTTTATAAAATTTATCAAAAAAATAGATAGATGAGAAGAGTAGAACTTAAACTTTAAGTTTAATGAAAAAACTTATCACTTCAATAGCACACAATATATAATAAATATTTTATTTTAATTATACTAGTATTGCGTGTGTCAACCGCCAGTCTATATTATGCAAAGGTCTTACTTGATGTCATAAAACCTTTATATTAAGCAAATACCTCATTTATGCTGTGTTTGGTTGGGGATTTGGGGAGGGATTTGGAAAGGAAAAGGAAAAATATGTGTGAAATTAGGTGAAATATAAGTATGTTTTATTCACATTTTACCTATATTTTTCATTTTCCTTTCCAAATTTTTCCTCAAATCTCCCAACCAAACACAACATTAGTGTCTCAAAATTTTTGTTTCTATTCATGTCACAAAACCTTTATATTAAGCAAAGATCTCACAAGTGTCTCAAATTTTTGGTGTCTATTCATGTCACGTGGCATATTTGTCTCTATTCTAAAATATAAAGTTATACAAAGAAGAAAATAAATTTGAATTTAAAACTTTAGACAAACATATTATAATATTAATTTTTATATTATTTAATTTAATTTTTATTTAATTAAATTAGACACGCCAGTTGTTATTTGAACAAGAAAATGCCAAAAAAGGGTTGCAAGGGGACATGAGAACTCTAACAAAACGTGAAAGTACGTGGCATCATCAGATGCATTTCCCTCTGGAATACTCTTGGGAAGTCCATAGAAGGAAAGCTTTCAAGCAAGATACTTTTAGAAGCTCCTCACACATACATCTCTCTCTCTCTCTCCAATTGTAACACAAACAATCACTAACATCAATAAAATTCTCCCCCACCTCCTCTCTCTCTCTCTTAAAGTTTGTTGAATTAAAATGGCATTGGCCCGTTTGGCATTGAAGAATTTGGGACAGAGGGTGGTGGTGTCTCCTTCATGTTCTTCTTCACTGCTAGTAGTGTCTCAGAGAGTTGTAGAGAGAAGTCTCAGCACTGGGTTGGAGCAGAGGTGGGTCTCTAATGAACTTCTTGTGAGGAGTTTCTGTACAAGAAGAACTAGTGATGGTAATGATGAGAAATCAGAGGGCAGAGAGGTGGCTGTGTCTGAAGAGGGTGGTGGCAAGAAATTCAGGCTGTTCCCCAGAAGACAGCGCAGAAGGGGTCTCTGGAGGAACAACAACCACCATGGTACTCTCTCTCTCATAGGACCCAACTTTCACTTTATTTCTGTTATTTTAATTTCAACAATTTGATCGTTTAAGTTCAGTTTTAATTTGATTATTCTATTTAATTTTTTTTTTTTTAAATTTTGTCAACGTCTACACCGTAAAAAATTGACAAGTCTCCCAAAATTTTTGATTGAAAGGATCAAATTAAAACTAAATCTTCAATTTAAAACTATAAGAATTAAAATAAATTTTATTTTAATCATAACTACTGAAGTAAAAAAGCAAGATGAAATCGTACAGTTGAAAGTTTATTAAAATAGATAAATTTAATAACAGAGAAAATTTAGAGACATAGAATTGTGACTTGCAATAGAACATGAATTGTAGCTTCATAAGTGGTTTAACCATAATATATTTTTGAAAAATGCCTGACACCCCAGTGGGGGTCACTGGGGGTCGCCCCTGATAGGCTGAAATTTTTTTTTTTTTTTTTTTTGAAGTCCACCCAATGGCAGTGTGCCACCTGTCACTGGGGGGTCACTGGGGTGCCCCAGCTGGGGGTCTGTAGCATATATGAAAGAAACTTTGGTAGTTAATTAAAAGAAACTGACAATTATTAATGCTTTCATTTCTTTAGAATTGTTTCCATCAGGGTTAGAAAATTCACTCTTTCAAGCAACCCAAAACCTCAACAAGTTGTTGAGAAATTTATCACCTTCAAGGCTCATAGGCAGAGTGAAAGAGCATGACGAGTGCTACAAGATACGATTCGGCGTGCCGGGCTCAGCAAAGAAGACGTGAAGATCACAATTGAAGATTGGGTTTTGAAAATCAGAGGAGAGCACAAAGAAGAGAGTGATCATGAACAAGAAGACTATGATGATGATGATGATGATGATGATGATGAAATTGATCGGTTTTGGTCGTCGATGAACTATAGATACTTGAGGACTAGCATTATGCTTCCTGAGGATGCAAAAGTTGATGAAATTAAGGCAGAGATGAAGGATGGTGTGCTGACTATTACCATTCCTAGGACTGAAACACCAAAGAAAGATGTTAAGGAGATTACATTCAGTGATATGTGATTGTGGGTGTTTTGTGTCAATGAGACTTTAATTTTGTGTTTTTTGCGTTTGTTTGTGTGCTGGTAGAGAGACTCTGTGTAATGGAGATTGATCTTCTAAGTGCTCAGGGTGAACGAAAATAAAGTTTCTGAACATTTTGAAATTTGTATTGAAGGCTCCCAAAAATTTCTCTTATGCGAGTAAAATTTGTGTCACCGTGATCCTGCTAACGTGGTATTACAAATCAATAATAAACCTACATTGCCACATATATATAATATGGTACAATAATAACAAGTTATTCGATGATAATATACACTCAAATTTTTTTTTTGGTATCGTATTAAGTAAAAAGAAAAATAATTTCTACTTATTGGGCCTCAAATAAATCAATAATACCAAAAATAATAACAAAAATTGGCGATTGTTGGCACTAAAATTTATTTATTTTCTCTGTCGAAAAAGCATAACAAATACGGAGAGTTGATCTAGTGAGTGCTAACGGTGAAGATCACAAGTTTACAGTAGGAGGTGGATCCTAGAATGCAGAGTAAGTGACAGAAGTGAAACAGTTAAAGGTGGAGATGTGGTAGACATAGTTTTCTTCTATTGATTCATTTGATAGTGTAGTGAGATGTGGCCAAACGTGGCCCAAGTGTCAAGCCATGAAGTTAGGCATGCAGGTGATGCAGGGTACATGACTTGTTTGTAAGAGAAAGAGAATGCTGCAGCAAAGAAACAGTTACCAACGGTTATGGAGATCGTCAGCAACACAGGAAGTAGAGGTAACTTGCTCCATGCACTACAGGAAATACAGTTTTCAATGGCGTTTTTAAAACGCCGCTAAATGTGTGAAAAACGCCGCTAAAACTTTTGATGACGTTTTTATTATACGTCGAAGATACGGCCGTCGTTATATGTTTGCGACATTTAAAAAACGCCGTTGTAGACCTTATTGCGACGTTTTAAAAACGTCATGCTACAGTCACCGGCGGTGATTCCTTCCGGCAAGATGACGTCATGCTACAGTCATCTTATTTAAGTCACATTACTTCTCTAACACATCACTTCAAACCCAACCCAAATCCAACCCATATTTCATAAAAAGTCAAAAAGTGCACTTATTTAGTCTTCCCAAACTTGGCCTTAGTGTGAAGACATAAAAATAAACAAAATAAAGTATACATTTTAGTATAAAAGAGGAAGCCCAGCCTTGAGATTTCCGAGGTCCAAAGTCAATAATCAACTAATAAATTTTTGGAGCCCTTTATATATTTTTTTTATTGAATAAAAAAAATGAAAAAAAAAATTGAAGATAAAAGACAAGA